TAGGTACTACTACTACGTTGCTAACCATTCCGAGTATTTGACTTCTCGAGTGAATCCTATTTTAAGGAGTTTAGTTACCTTATCCTTGATGAATGCATGTTTGATCTCGGACTGGGGTCTCCTTTTCTACTTGACCGGATGGAATTTCGAATCCAGGATCATCTTGTGAATAGTGATCTCCAGTGGGATCCCTGTCATGTCGAGATGGGACCAAGCAAAATAATCTATGTTGGCTATCAGAAATTGAATGAGTTTTTTCCTGCGCTCGTAGGTTAACCCTGTGCCTATGTATACCTTCCGATTGAGTAGATTCTCAATCAAAGTGACTTGCCCCAACTCTTAAACCGTTAATTTGTAGCATCAGAATCATCAGGTACTATAAAAGATATGGGAACCCTGTAATCATCATCTTTGTCGGTCTCTTATTTACCCAATTGGGTCGTGGCTGGTGTCGATAGTTGCTATTTGGTTTCCCGATTTGTGCTCGAACTTGGTTCCTTCGATGTTGTCAGTATTGATACTGGAATCACTTTTTTGACTGCAAACATTTCCTTTGCGGCCGGTTATTCCCCGTAGATCATTTTAATCCCTTCCAGCGTTGGGAATTTTAGCACCTGGTGAAGGGTTGAGGTTACTGCCCTCATGTTGTGAGTTCATGGTCTCCCAAACAGAGCGTTGTACCTCATATACCCTGATCACATAAAACTTGGTTTCCTGGATGGTCCCGACGGTATTCACTAGTAGCGTTATTTCTCCCTTAGTAGTTTCACAAGCCATATTGAACCCGTTTAGCACCCGAGCTGCAGGCAGGATTTGGTCATGTATACCGAGTTGTTCTACGACCCCCGATCGAATGATGTTGGCCGGGCTAACTGGATCAATTAACACACATTTAACTCGAGATTTATTCATGAGTACAGATATTACCAGTGCATCATTGTGGGGCTGCATGATTCCTTCTGCATCCTCGTCGCTGAAAGACAAAGTTCCTTCTAGTATGTAACCTCGAGTCTGTTTCTCCCTCGTGATGGATACTTTGGTGCGTTTTAACATCGGACCTTGAGGGACATCGACCCCTTCGATGATCATGTAAATGACGTGTTGAAGTTATTCTTACTCGGTTTGTTTATTGGAGTCCTTATTTCTGAAATGATTCCCGGCTCGGTCACTCAAGAATTCTCGAAGATGCCCGTTGTTGAATAACTGGGCTACCTCCTCCCTCAATTGTCGGCAATCTTCTATTCTATGGCCGTGAGTGCCATGGTATTTGCATATTTGGTTTGGGTCCCTTTGGGCTGGGTCGGATTGTAGAGGTCGAGACAATTTGGTATCTTTGATGCATCCGATAGCTGATACTATAATAGCAGCATCTACGTTAAAGTTATATTCTGACAACATTGACGCTTCCTTGGGTCCAATAGGCTTGTCGAAACCACTCTTGCTCATGAGTTCCCAACTGCTCTGACCTCAATTGTTTCTCCTCTCATCTCGTATAGAACTCCATCCGGACCCATTGCTTCTTTGATCCTCATTATACGGCTGATATCGATCCCTATTCGACCTTGGTTCATGATCAATATCTCTCTTGACTTTGTCTACGGCTCTAATAGGATAAATGGACCTGGAAGGAGCCCCCACTTGATCATCTTCGACTCAGATCTTCGATTGATATCAGTTATACACATCAGCCCAAGTGACAACTGGATATTCTATCAGGTTTTGCTTCAATTATTGTGAAGCCACCGAACTTCGAACATTGAGTCCTTGGGTAAAAGCTTGAACGGACCAGTCATCAGTGAACGGTGGGAGGTCCATCCGTTCCATTTAAAATCGAGATACAATCTCTCTGAGCATCTCATTGTCCTTTTGCCTTACTTTGAAGAGGTCCGATTTTCTGGTTTCGACCTTGATAGCTCCAGCGTGCTTTCACAAAAGAATCTGCAAGCATAGCAACTGAGTCAATAGAATTAGGGGGTAAGTTGTGATACCATATCATGGCTCCCTTTGAAAGGGTTTCTCCGAATTTCTTTAGCAAGACAGACTTGATCTCACCATCCTCCAAGTCGATACCATATCATGGCTCCCTTTGTCGTTTGCTTTGATTTTCTTTTCCCCTGATTCTATTCATTTTGTCAGCTCTTCGAGCATCTTTATGATTTCGGGGTTGTTACTCGATTCACTTCCATTCGACCTTTTTGCGATCAGTTCCTCCCTGCGAGTGATCTCACGAGACAGATTGGGTTCGATCCTGCTCGGTATACGGCTCTGGTTTTGTAGCTGAGCTATTATCGCCTGTTGAGCCTGAACATTTCGAAGATCATCCGTAGATTGACTCTGTCTCCTTCATTGTTTTGAGTATTCTGTGCCATTAACCAGGTTCCACCACATATGCTATTCTCGAGGTCAGTGGGGAGGCTAGTGTCGATAGCCACACGCGAATTAGCGTCCAATGGGTCTGCAATCAGAATTCCGACAGGATCAACGGGCGGTACCTTGTTACCGGGTGTTATGTTATTGTTTTCACCGTGGTGACCAGACTCACTGTCAGTAGGTAGAGGTGCTAATTGTAAGCGTGACATTTTGAGCTTAAGCCTAAAATCAAAGACACTTCAAAGAAAAAGTGAAAAATAGTATGTGTTATGGAAATTCGTATCAAATAACCACTATTATCCTTAGCTCCACGGTGGGGTCCAAACCATTTACCCTCAAAATCGAATAACAATTGAATTTATACGCGATTTTAAGGATATATGATATAATTTGACACAAATTGAGAAAACAGATTAATATTGAAATCAATGACAGAAAAATAAATGCAAACCACACATGTTGAATAGTGTTAACCTTTAAGGTTGGTCATCCTCGAGCCAGAAATTGCCTCAATCGATGTCAGAACAGAGTAGCAAAATAATAAGAACTAGAAATAATGTATTGCCTTTGGACGCGTGTTGCAATATGTCTTACAAAATAGGCAGAATACATAACTGGACCCTTAAACTTGGCCTTTTTTGTCACTTGAACACATAAACATAGAGTTGTTCCTATCAGGCCCTTCAACTAAATCATATTTGTGCCAATTAGATACTTTGTAGTGATATGATTGAGTGCATGGGGAAGGGCGCGTGAACATGAGAAAAGGCAGTTGATTATTATTATATTATTTTTATATAATAAAGCTAACTTTTACCCGACATTCTATTTCTCTTCTTCTTCCCATGACCCATCATTTTTTCTCTTAATTTTTTTAAAAGAAAGTTTAGTGTACATGAATTTGACTATTCTCATTTGGCATGCTTGTTCTCTTCTTGTAAGCTAATGGAATAAAACTTTACAAACTAAAACACACAGTGGTTGATAGAAGTTGCATTTTGACATTAACACCTTTTAACAAAAATAGTACTTTAGAATCATCTTCTACTGGAATAGCATCCAACTCTGAGTCACTATCGCTACTGTCTAGTTCATCTTCAAGACCTTCTAAATCAGACAAATCAGCTACACCAACCTGCACCTCTTCTGTAACATCAGCTTCCCCCATGTGAGTCCACAACTATAGCCTCATCAACAACATCTAACACATATAAGTCTAATAAGTCACCATGTTCTAGGATCGACATGAAAAACACCAGCTTAGACGAGGAATAGAGAGAATAGCGTGATATTTCAGTGAAATCGAAACAAGAAGAAATGAGATGAATTAAACAGAGGAAATTTTTAGTGAGCTTTTTAGGGCACTAAGTCGCCAGAGCCGACAGTCAGGTTTTCCATTTTCTAAAAATGAGTTTCAATTTGTTTTGGGGGTTAATTCTATAAGGTGGAATATTTTAAGGTGTTAGAGGCAACTGTAATACACGAGTTTAATTTTTATAAAAGTTTTTCTCAGATGGTCTACAAAGTGTCTAATTGGCACATATGTGATTTAGTTGAAGGGCTTGATAGAAACAACTCTATGTTTAAGTATCCAAGCGACAAAAAAGGCCAAATTTAAGGGTCCGGTTATGTATTTTGCCTACAAAATAATCAGACCCCCTTTATATCGGAGAGTCTTACTTAAGATACAATTCTATAAAATGTAAGAAATCTCATGATTTGCTAATTATTCGGTCTCTCGTTGATACGTGCCGAGATTTTCGCCGTGATATCTGGTTGGTTACGGATATTTTGGCCTTCCGTTATTCGGTCCAATAATATTTTCTTGAGCTCGATCGGAGTCAAAGTCAGTTCAGGAGCTATGGGCTTGATGATTTTGAAGACGCATGCTCTAAATTCGGAGTCGATCTTTAATCCAACACGTTTCAGCCTTGATCTGTCATGCAATAGATGAGCCTGATTTCGACCGTATATACATAGCTATACAAAGCAAGAGGTAATTGTGGGACGACTGGAATTTCTACACCACTGGTTAAAAGTTTGAAGTTCATATTAGAAAAATAAAGGATCTTTTGCGTAGGGAGAGTCTTATATATATTTTTAGATTAAATTAATTTAAATAGTGAATAGAGTAGATGATTAATAATCTGTTTGGCGATTTTTTTTGGGAGGTGTTAAAAGTGCTTTTTTTCTATAAAAAAAGAAGAAAGCGATTTGCCAAGCTTTTAGAAGGAAAAAAGTCTTTTTGAGTACAAAGAGAAATTATTTTTGAGAAGCTAAAGAAATAATATTTTTCAAAAGTATTTTATGAAAAGTACTTTTTAAAAGTTTGGTTGCTTAAAGATACTTTAAATTTGATTAACTATAATTTAAAAGTTTGCTTCTCACTAAACTGCTTTTAACACTAATTTTTTAAAATAATTGATATTAGAAGTTTGACCAAACAAACTATAAATCCGAAAAAAAAAAAAATACATCGACGAGTATTGGGTGCCGACATTGGACAGCCACCGTGGAATGGCGCATTTTAGCAACCCTACCACCTATATACCGAAAGTACCCCCGACCCAGGCCTGAGAACTGTTCCTTGAATTCTCTATAAAGTCATAATTTTTGCGCCTATAAATTCCAAGTTTCAAAACGAGAAAGTTAGAATCTCCGATTCCATTCAAAACCTCTCTCTCCTTTTTCAACTCTCTCACTCTCTCTCTCTCTCACACACATACACACACTCAAAGCTATGAAAGAACACGCAAACGTTGCTGCCACAGTTGACACGTGTAGAACCATCGAAGTCGCCGTCGTCGAGCAGCGGCAGTATCTCCGTTCCCAGCCGCTTCAAGCCATCAAGCTTTCGCCGTCTCCGGTCCCAACCGCCGACGATTACCCCTATGACTATGACTTTAACTATAATTTCGATGACAACGGTGAAGATCTCTTTATTCCTCCTCTCAACTTCGCCATGGTCGATAATGGCATTTTCCGTTCAGGCTTCCCTGACTTAGCTAACTTCTCGTTTCTTCAAACTCTTGGTCTTCGTTCCATCATGTAAGCATATTATTCTACTGCTCTAGGTTTTTTGCTATAATTTAGCTTAACTTAAGCTTAGAGTTGATGAATTAGGGTTTTGTGTTGACAGATACTTGTGTCCAGAGCCATATCCAGAAGCAAACATGGAGTTTCTAAAGGAAAATGATATTCGCTTGTTTCAGTTCGGTATTAAAAACTGCAAAGTACGCTTTCTCATTTTATCTCATGTTTTTGCTAATAATTAATGTTGCTTCTTTCGCTTAAAATCTTAAGTAAAATACTCACATTTGAATTGATTCCGCTGATATCTGAAGTTTAATATTCGTAAATGAGTGAATTAGTTTTCCAGAAGAGGAGAAATGTCAATTCTTGTAGTTAGAAATGAGATGATCAAGGTTAGAAGAAAGAGAAAGAGAGACACCAAAATAATTGAAGGCACGCGTAGTGGGCCTTATATTAGAAGATTTCGGAAAAATCAGTTACTTTTGGCGTTTATAGGAGTACAGTTAATTGAAAAGAAACCCAAGGACAGTTCTTCGTATCCATTTCCATGTACAACAAAAAAATATTCACCTCACCTCAGGGCAAGATTCAAGATTATATATTTAGCACTGAACTTGTTGTATTTTTGAAATTTATGAGTTCATAATATAATACTTGTTAAACTATAATTAGTGTATCTCGCATGTACATCTATATTCCATGTTGAAAATACTGGATTCGGTTGAACTCATAGCTAATAAGAGATGCTCGTTTTTTTGTATCTGTAATTGATCGTACATCATATACATGATTGTTCAAGTTTTAGTTAAAATTATTTTTGCATTCTGTCTGCATCATATGATCTTTTGCTTAAGTCATGTGAAAGGATGGAATTAACCGACCATGTCAATTTTTGATTTCCACAAGGAAAATTAATTCGTGATCAGGGTTTGGATTGTACTAGTGAGGAGGGAAAACTGAAAAGTTGCTTAAGTAATTAATGCATTTTAGAGAATGCCACAAGATGATAGGTCTAGAATTTGGCCATTGCTGATCTTAAAGGCCATGGTCCACAGAGGGTTTAGAAATTTATTGCTTTCCATTGATATATACAAATAATAATCTGTGGATAACCACAAGTATTGCTTTAGAGAAAAGAATCAGTATATGTCCGGATCTGGCTATGTTTATTCTTCTTTTTGATTTGTGTTTTTATTTTTCTCAATTGTTGTTTTGGTTGATAGAATACCGTCTAAAACTAAGCCCCCGTTTGGCTATAGATTTTGCCAAGTTTTTTTCCAAACATTTTTTGGCAAAACATGTTTGTTTATAGATTTTATCCATGTTTTGGCAGATTTTGAAAACAAAATTTTCAAATCCCAAAACTAGCTCTAGATCTGTCTTTGGCCAAAAATATTACTATGACGTTTTAACAATTTTAAAAATTAATCCAAACTTTTGTATTTTATAAAAAAGCTCACCATCTATTATGACCCAACTAATCCACCACCTAATTACTATCATTTTCTTCTTGACTGATGGATCTTATAATATTATTGCATTTTGATAGTGGCTAGTAATTGTTTTATTAGTAGTTGATATTAAAATACCAGGTTATGGTTTTAGGATAGTGTATTATGTAGTTCATTATTAAAATGATAATTTTGTGCCAAACTTATCTATGTTCAGGATTATGGTTTGTGATAATGATAATGAATGACATCGATGAAGGTTCTGCATATGCAGGATTAGCAAGTTTGTTTGTTTGGTATTGTTGGGTATTTTTGATAGTTATTAGAACTTATGGGTATAAGTCACATTTCATTTTTTTTTTTAAAAAAGTGAAATATGTTTTGAAAAATTATGTCCAAACAGATTTTCATTTTCAAATCAAACTTCACCAAAATCAGTTTTTTAAAACAAATATTTGGTAATCTATGGCCAAATGCTAGCTAAAAGACTATCTTTTCAGTCATCTCTTTGTTTAAATCAATACCTAGTTGGCCACCACAGCTACCTCTTAGCTGTGCACTAGGAGTATTCCAAAGAAACTGTCTTGAAGATCAGGTTTCTTTATCCGAATTAACCTTCAAGATTTTAAGTCCTACTCATGCACCTCAATGCTTATGCCTTTTGTAGCACTTGAATCTGTATAGAAAACATAAGATTTGCATAAACTGGAAATCTCGAATTATTATAATCTCAGTTCTGCCTTGTAAGACCTTAAATTAAGTTTTTTTCCCATATCCAAAAGGCTTTCTATTTTTCTCTAAATTTGGGATTCTGTTGGTTATGTATGTGATAGTAACCATCTGTAATACCAGTAAGTATCTCCCTTTTTTGAGAACGAGTCTTATAAACTTGAATTATGTTTAAGTTGTAAGGTCGTTGCTTGGAAGGATATCAAATCATTGTCCTTATCCTGTTTTTTGGACATCCAATTCCTCGCATGTAGCTTGAGCATAGAACACATGAATTTTGTTATTTAGAAGTAATAATAATTTAGAACTGGTTGTGAGCTGTGAATCGGGGTTTCATTGGATCCAACTTCCTTTTAGCTAGTTTATCAGAAATATAATTAAATAGGATGGTCGTACTCCTCCCTGTGAAAAGAAATTAGTGTGCGGAAATGCAAAAGTTAGGTGCAGAAACACAAGTCACGTTGGCAGTCGCTCAAAAGTTAAAAGTTAGCTGAAGATATTTCTTCCATTCATTTAACTGATTAATAAAGTTTCATTTTCTCTCTCTCTTTTTGGATCTTCAAGCAAAGATCAAATGATATTTTTTCCTGATCAACACTGTTCTTTCTATCTTCCAAGTTCCAATCTAACTGCTGAAGTTAGCAGAATTTTTCCTATCTCCTCTTTTTGATCTCTTTATGATTACATCATTAACCGGGCAGTTCCTATGTGTGGTAGGTTGTTGGCTTCAGTCTGCTCTGGTCCCAGCGTGACAGATTACTCCCTAGATTCCCGCATATGCGGTAAACAAATTACACCTTAAATAAGAACCTTATTCTATTCCTTTTAGCTTGTTTTATTACCTCATCCATAGCAACAAGAGTTCCTAGAGACAGGCATGAGCGGCACATTATTCCTGGCTTCATATTTGCGTAACTGGGTAATCGTGCGAAGAATAACTAGCTCTACCTTAATGCAGAAAGTTTCGGCTCAGGATGTCGACATTGTCCATGAGTCCACCTGAGATTAAACAAAATAATGGGTAATTTTTTAGCTTGCCGGTGAGAAAAGGGAAAATATAGCAGAAAAGAAAAGATAATAACTCGGGAACACTCACTAAACTCATTCTGGAAATATCGATTAAGGGCTTCCGGTCATCTTCTTCTTCCTTTTTAGGGTCCTTTCCCCTGGTTCATTGCATATGTGAGATAGTGTAGAAGCTTTTCTTTAAGGTGTCATTGAACTTTGGGATGCTAAAGAATTGATCAGATTCTTTAATCCTCAAGACGAGTATTTTGTTTTGTTCTTTAAGAAAAAATAATTATTGTCAATTGATTATTACCATTATTATATTTATTTTTGTTTTGAAATGATATTGTCAATTGATGTTAAATTATGCTTTCAGGAACCTTTTGTAAATATTCCAGAAGAGAAGATTCGTGAAGCATTGGAGGTTCTAATTGGTATCTCTTTCAAACAATAATATCCACTTACAAACTTTTAGTCAAAGTGAGTTTAATACTGCTAATCTTGCCTTGCTAAAGTCTTTAACCTGCTGCTTACAGATGTTAGAAATCACCCAGTGTTGATCCATTGCAAACGTGGGAAGGTGCGTAATTTTTATTTTTTGGTTGCCTCGAATTCCAAAGTAAGAGTGCCTTATCTAAATTATGCTTTTGTTTTCTGTCCACTTTCCAGCATCGAACTGGCTGCCTTGTTGGATGCCTGAGAAAATTGCAGAAGTGGTGCCTAACTTCTGTGTTCGACGAGTACCAGCGTTTTGCTGCGGCCAAAGCAAGAGTGTCAGATCAGAGGTTTATGGAGCTTTTTGATGCATCCAGCTTCAAACAACAGTCATTGTCATTTTCGTGTTCAAAGAGGTAACAACCAGTACACGCAAATAGGGAATCTGCTTCTCTTATTTGTTGTGTTGGCTTTCAATAAATTGGAAGAGGTGATGACTTCTTGAAGTAATTTTGATTTATAAAGGAAATGGTCATTCTTTTTCCATTACAAGGTCAATAAAGAAGATTTATGAGCATCTCCTCCTTGGGGAGCTCTTAGCTTCCTCGAATTTTCCGTAATGTGTTTAGCATAAATCAGTTTAGATTTGTTCAAATACCATTCACCTGGTAAGAAGCATTTAGTCTAATGCTCTAAGTGTACATAATTTGTTATAAATACCAGGGGTAGAGCTCGTTCTCTCCGTCCGGGTTCTTCCTGCCAACTATGGTTAAACCAAGGCAGCTAGAAAGCAAATTGTGCCCGTGATGCTACATGGTTTCTGATTCTCATACAAGTATCTGTATTTGTGTGTAACTTATTATGTCGTAGTATGTAGAAGCTTTAATTAGTTGTAACTAGGACGGGGGCCACAAGCAACAACTGCTCATTGATGCTGTTGGTTTAGAATAAAGGAGTCTAGTAGTTTTTACAGCATGTAACACATCCTGTATTTGACTTGAATGTCATGACCAATTTAATTCTTAGCACGATATAAATTTTGCCATTTCCTACCTTTGGTACAAATTTCAGACAAACTAAAGTGTTATGATGAAATGCAGTCATCGTAAGCTGTAAAGAGATACCTCTGGGTTTTATTTTGATGAAATTTTAACTTGATCCTTATTATATAAGCTGCTCTTTGGAGGTCGGAGACTTGTATAGATTGTGGGAATTTCATAATATCAACGATTTTAGATTTTGAACTAATGATTGAGAAAATAATGTAATATTTATCATCTTTAATTTTAATAGGTAAAAAGTTCCACTTGTGAAATTACACTGTGTTTGTTGTTATTGTAATTCTAATAGGTAAAATGAGATAAGATTTGGTGAAACTGCACTGTGCCATTATTCATTAGAAAGAATTACACTATTAATCACTCCATAAGTTGACTATGGTATTGTAGCCAATTACAAATTTGCAAAGCCAAATATCAGTAAGCTTAGATTCGAAAAAGTTTTTTGCTTTTTGATTCGGAAAAAGTTTTTCGCTTTTTTGATTCTCTACCTCTTCGGGCATAAAATATTTGTGAGTTTTCACTCATTTTTTCTCAAGTTTAAACATACATACCCCAGCTACAAACATGCAAAAATGGACGCGAGAAACCTAAAATCTCATCTTCTTCAATGGTAATTTTGTTAAATTTCGAATATAATTTTGTGAGAAATTTGGTGTGGGTATTATTTGAACTTATTAGAAATAGTCCAAGTAGGTTGTATACAAAGTTTGAAGTCATTTGATGGAAATTTGGACTTGTTTTGAACAAGAATTGCAAGTGAAAATCGTACAAGAAGTTCATCAGAAATGCTTATACACTTTTATACAAAAAGGTACATTATGTATATAGTTGTATAAATATGTATAATCATAGTAGTGAAATATTCATGGTACACTATGCATATGGGTGTATAAGAAGAAGGAGAAGGAGAAGGAGAAGAAGAAAATGCGAGAAATTCACCAAATACTCGTAAATAATGTATCAACCTTGCATACAATATTGTATAAGAGGTGTCTATACACTATTATACACTATTTATATAATATTATACACTATTATACAAATGAATCCTATTAGTGGAGCTTGTTCTTCTTCTTCCTTGGGTATCCTCTGAAATTTAATTCAAACCTAGTTTAAATTTACTCCAAATCACTTCAAATTTATGTTTTGAACTCCTCTTCATTATTCAAATTAAGTAGGATAACACCCATTCTAAACAACTAACTAATCGAAGAACTCAATTTCTGAAGTTGAAGCTTTGAACCACCTTTAATGGTGACTTTTATATTTCAAATTTTTAATCAACTATTGGGATTAAAATTACATGTGGAATGATGATAAAAACGAGACAATGCTGGGACCTATTTTCTAGTTTGATGATCCAATAACTACTAAGTGAACCTCTTTAGTGCATGATAATGAACAGTTCTTCCCATTCCAATGGAGCAAATGATCTTTATATGACTCCAAGAAATTAATTCTTTTATATATTGTTTTTCTTCTTCATCCAAATAGTAGTTACGAGCTTTGAATCTGGAAGAAAAATTGAAGGAGAATAACAATGGTAGAAAATTTTTGGGTGCAAAATCGTTACACGGGAAAAAGAAGAAGAGCCAAGGAAAAAAAGGGTGTGCTAACTAGTGAAAAGTAATTTTTAGGTTATGTACAACCTGCGCTACACTGGTAAGGGCTTCAAACGTGAGCTATTAAACATGAGCTATTTTCTGATGAGTTGTTGAGCCAAATAATAATGGGTGTAATTCGGGAGTAATTCAAAAATAGCCAGATTTACAAGTGGTCATTGAAAAATAGCCATAGTTTCAAAAGTAATAGAAATTTAGCCACTTTTTATATAAAGATAATTGTGAACGAAATAATGTTCAAAATCCGAAAAATATTCCAGCATAATATACTGAAATTCCAGCATAATATACTGGAACTCCAGTATATTATACTGGAGTAGCAGTATATTATACTGGACTTCCAGCATAATATACTGGAGTAAAAGTATAATATACCGGTCCAACATAATATACTGGAATTTCATACACAGGTGCTCCAATCTTCAGTATATTATGCTGGAACTTTCCTTGTGTTTGAGTTCCAGCATAATATGCTGGAAGTTCATACACAGGTGCACCAATCTCTAGTGTATTATGCTGAAACTTTCCGTGTTGCAGCAAAATAATGACTATTTTTCAATGACTTTGCAAATGCTGACTATTTTTTAATTACTTTTCCGAAAATTGGCTGGCTCGTGCTATTTTTACGTGTAATATCTTATAGGCGAGATATAATAAATAGAGAATTGGTTACTCCATGGGGAAAAAAGTTAGAAAAAATGGATTACTCCATTTGTTCGAATTTGTTTACCAATTGTAACATTCATTCTTGAAAATAAAATGTAAATCTATTTTTGAGAAGTACAAAAGGAAAAAGGGATTAGGGGCACTTTTTGTCAATTAAAATTATGTAATTAAGAGCCTGTTTGGAAAGTCACATGGGAATTGTAATTGGGTGTAATTATCCACTTTGGCATATTTGTTTGACCAAGTAATTATTTGATTGGTGATGAATTGAATGTAATTTGGAGGGAGTAATTACACTCTTCAATTTTCTAGAGGGGTAAAAAATTGGGTGTAATTACATAATGTAATTACAAGGCAACCTTTTCTATTCTTTTTTTTTTTCATTTAATATTATATTATTTACTAGTGAATTTGCCCGCGCGAAGACATCATCATTAAATTTACAAAATGATACTTTGATTTTATTTATGTTGTTGGTGAAATATAGAAATGAAAAATTTCATGTAAACAATATTGACCGATCTTTAACTAATTTGAATAATTTATTTTTCTCTTTTGGGTTTCACTTTGAGTTATAAGCTTCACTTCAATATACATTCCATCCAATATGATTGGAACTATTTTGCTGCTTTTTTTAAAAGCTACTTTGTTATTTGAACCAAATATACTCATATTCTCCCACAACTACCTTAAAGACGAATCTCCCGGCCAATATATCAATATTATTCATATTGATAAAATGCCTAGTTTTATCTCTCAAAATGATAGGAAGCCGATATTTTCTCTTAGGTCGATCAAACTATTCAGTTGGACTTAATTTCATTTTCAAAGGGTAAAAAATCTCTAAAACTTTGAAAAATAATCAATAATATAGATGCTGTTCTAAGCTCTATAAAGAGTTAAAATGGAAAACAAAAATAAAAACTACTACTAATAAGATAGTGACAACTAAAAAATACTGACAGCGTTTGGCATGTAAAATATTCTTAAGAACATAAAATAACTCGACAAACATATGATAATTAAATTAATTTTATAAGATAAAATTCAGGTATGAGCTACTACTTTGGGATTTTATAAGTGGTAACAAATATGTGTAAATCAAGTTTCTACCATATTTCAAGGCAATCATATATAAACATTCAAATTGAAAGTATGATAAAATAGTAATGCATTATTTTAATAAAAGATAATCTGTCTTTACTAATTAGATATCTTTTTATGTTTCATTTAACATTTTATAGACAAAAATAAGTTAGCCACAAAAACAAAGAAATCAATAACAAAGATCGAATGATAGAAAAGTGAGAATGCAAGAAATTACGAGAAGAAGGAATATTGAAAGCTGCTAATTTAAAGAGGAAAAGCAAAAGGTCAAGGAGGCAATAACAGATGGCTGGTTTCGTTCCTCCTTAGCTACTTTTGGACTATTGGTCCCTTTATAGCTAATGATGTCTTCCTGCAGCTCATGTCTTCGTATGCTCATACTCAATTCTTCATCATGTCATAATATATTTTGCAAGATCACCATATTTCCTTCATTTAATGCCAGAAAGTGAAAAGATATTGGAAATTAAAGGTTTTAGAACTGAAAATGGGGCAGCAGATAGTGAAGAAGCTTTGTAATTGAACTATTCATAATAAGATGTAATAAATAAAATAGAAAATGAGCAATTTCAATTATTAGAAAAATTATATGAAAAGAATGAAGGAAAAAAGCCAAATAAGTGATAAAAAAGATAAATAGAATCCTTCGCCAAAGAAGGTGTGAAGTCACCTTATTATGCTCCGCATAATATACATACATATATAAATAGATTATTTCTTACTTTAACGTATCAACCCATATATGTTCCTGTCCTTGGATCGCACAAATAAGATTAACCTGCAAGCATCCATTTTCCAAATCAAATAAGAACGAAATAGCTGAATCATTAGAACCGATTAGTGACCTATAATTGATATTTTTTAAATTATAAATATCTAATCCCCCCTAAATTTCACTTTTATTATGTGAAAAGAAAATACGAATTAATTTTAAAATCTGTGAAGAAAGATTGCATAAGGACCCTACTTCCCCATTATATAGTCACATTCCCTCCTCTAAGCAATTCTTCATCAACCTATTCATTAATAGGATTTTTAAAATGTCAAAAATTTAAAAAAAATGCACACACAAAAGATGAATAAAATAAATATGAAGCTATCATAGCAACATAGAGGAGTTATAGCCAGTGCAGCTTGGGGCATTAAAGTCGAGAAATACAGCTTTTCCTTAAAGTTTAAATTAAAAAATTTTCCAAGATTTTCTTTTCTAATTTTTCAATTCCCATTCAAGAAATTACAACAACAACAACAACAACAACAATAACTCAGTAAAATCTCACTAATGAGGTCGGGGAGGGTAGTGTGTACGCAGACCTTATCCCTACGCGAAGGGGTAGAGTGGCTGTTTCCGAAAGACCCTCGGCTCAAGAGAACAAAAAGACAAAAGCAGAAAATATTAGTATCATCGCAAAAATCATAAGAAAAAAAAAATAGGAACATGAAATCCAGAAGAAAGATACAAAGCAAAACCAATAGCTAGTAAACACGTCATGCACTGAAATAGTAAGACACAACAATGCCACTAGCTATCTCAGGCAAAACCCCTACCAGACTAGTCTCACAAAGGTATTAGTAAGGCAAGACTCAACTACCTCATAACCTACTGCCGCGCCCTCTTTTTCTCGCGAAATCGGGTTTATGAAATTGACAACTCTTTTAACGGTTAT